CCACTTTCACCACAAGATTCAAAATTCAAATAATCCACTTCTCTACCTCAAAACCAGTTTGGGTATAATTATAGTTGCTTTCTTCCATCAGTCACATTGAACAACTTAATCTCGTGGTTTTGGTGTATCACCTCGAACAAGATGTTCGATTTTTTGGATTTAGGGTTCTAGTTTTAGGCTAAATAAAGAGAAGGAGATTTCTACTACTTATTGCTTTCAAGGCGAGTGATCTCTATCCTTAAAGCAATTTCGCCCCCACCGTATGTGCTTTTGGGATTTTGGCGAATCGCTTCTCAAGATACAATGAAGCAACGTATGTAGAATGACTATCAACACCGCACTAGTGGTGATAATCCCGGTTGAACTATTGAGTTTCAAGGATTTCATGAGACTAAGAAGTTGTGTTTCTATAGCAACATAACTCTTAGCAGTCTGGTATATAGAACAAAGAAAAAGGTTAAACGATTTTTGGTGTCTTTAGATGGGTATATATAGGCAAATGCGACAGCGCCTTGAACAGGCACCATTCGCGACGTTTCGAACAGTCGCAACTGTTCGAACGGGTGCCATCTGCGACGCTTGAACCGTCGCACCTGTTCATTACACCCTTTTGATGCGAACCGGTATGGTTGTCATCTGCGACGAACCGTCGCGTCTGTTCACGAAGAGGCACCGTTTAATGGCCAACTGTCGCACCCTTTCACTAACCATCGCATTTGTTCGTAGTAACTGTCACTAACGAATTATTTACAACGGTTTGAAGCAAAAGGATTAAGGCGGCTACAAGCGGCGAAGGGCAAAGTGCGCCATCAAAGCGCCACATTGCGCCCACGGTCGCGCGCGTAAGGGTGCTATGCACCCTTGTGGAGCCCCCATCATTTCCAATATATTAAATTAATATATAGAAAATGCTTCTTCTTATATACCCACTTGAATTTCACTCTTGCTCCTATGTGGGACAAGGAGAAACCCACCAAATTGATCCTTTCTCTTTTCCTAAGACCTAACCCAAAAGACTTTATTTTATTTTGAAAATATTCCCAACAAACCCCCACCATTTTCAAAATAGACTCAAGTTTTTTGAAAAAGACTGACACGACAAGACCTATCCAGATTCCAAAATCCTTGGGGGTGTTATGCATAAGTAAAGGTGGAGTGTTGCACCTTGAACCTTTACGTAGTGAAAGTGTTCAAGCCTAACTAGGGTAAGAATGGTTGAACCAAAGTCATTGAACCATCTTCCTTTATATGTTAGACGGAAATCACCTCACGCATATCCTTCCTCTCATTCATTCAACCACAAAAGCCGACCCGTTAACTGGCCATGGGTCAGTATTTTGATTTCTCAGAATGCTTTTAGAGCCAAGCCCTTTAGCTCATAGGAAGCGGCCTCACTTCCCCATTCAGATAGGTGGACCTTGTCAAGAGTGTCCCGTAATTTTAAACACTCCAACACAATATGTGTTATAAGTCCGTTAAGAGTTAGATCAACCTTTCTTAACATTACGGTTCCAAGTTCTGCTAACCTTGGGATGGCTTAATAATATTGCAGAACTTTCAGTCACATTCAAATGATGTACTTTAACTTAATCTTGAGTCTTGGTGAAAAAACCAAGTGTCAAGACAAGGTTCCATCATGGGTGACTATTTATAAGTGGGCTTGAGACCCATCCCTTTTGATGTGCTTTCAATCAGTTTTCTTGGTAATCCTTTTGTGAAAGGATCGGCTAAATTCTTACTTGATCGTAAGAAACTAATGGTGATCACCCCATCATTTATTAACTGATTTACTTGTCTATGCCTAAGTCCTATATGTCTGGACTTACCATTATACATTTGATTGTATGCTCTTGATAGTGTAGCTGCACTATCACAGTGTATAGAAATTGGTGGCATTGGCTTTGGCCACAAGGGTATGTTAAGTAACAAATCCCTTAACCATTCTGTTTCTTTACAACAAGAAGCCAAAGCAACAAACTCCGATGCCATGGTAGAATCAATTATGCAACTTTGTTTCTTTGATCCCCAAGACACTGCACCTCCAATTGGAAAATACACAATAGATTCGTAAAATAATATGTAGGGAGTACAGTTGGAACAACAAATGTAAAAGTGACGCCCACTACATTTGGTGAGTTTCTTACATTATTTTGTTATTATTTTATATTAATAACTAGAAAATTGTTCATAACATTCACTAAAATACACAATAGATTCATAAAATAATATGTAGGGAGTACAGTTGGAACAACAAATGTAAAAGTGATTTCCTACACTAATTTCTAGGCAAAAAGGACTCCCTATATTAATCTATACTACCTTAATATTCATTTACATCAAAGTCTTACCTACTACCTCTAAAGCTTTAGATACTGCTTTTTAATGCATAGATTTTAAAAATCTCTTAATTTCAAATTGTGATGTATTAGGTACAAGTTTGTAAGGAATCATTTTACCTACCACCAAAGAAGACCGTTCAGATCCATCTTTCTTCCTACCAAGTTGCTTCAAACCCACTTTCACCACAAGATTCAAAATTCAAATAATCCACTTCTCTACCTCAAAACCAGTTTGGGTATAATTATAGTTGCTTTCTTCCATCAGTCACMTTGAACAACTTAATCTCGTGGTTTTGGTGTATCACCTCGAACAGGATGTCCGATTTGCATTCTGCTCTGTATCAAACCGATTTGATGTTTCGAGACCTCATCAATACATATAACTCCCTCCTCTCTGATGTTCTAATTTCACAGGTTCTTCCAAACTCTAGAGATTTCTTAGAGGAATGCTCTTCAAATTTAATTTTGAGGTATGCTCTTCAAAACCCTATTGATTTCCATTTTGATTTAGATTTCCATTTCCATTTCCATCTCCATCCCCATTTCGATTTTTCAGCTAAATATCATAATGTGTTTGAGAAGTGATTTTGATTTCTTCGACTATTTCTCCATTTGTTTCAATGGTTACTCCATTTGTTTCAATGGTTACTCCATTTCAAGGTATGTTGATGACATTTTAACTTCCTTTCGCTTTTCTTTGGTTTAACTGATTCTTTCGAAAATTCAAAAGGTTTCATGTTTTCTGTTAGCGATTGGTTGAAATTATGTGCCAATTGTTGAGATATTGGAATATACATGAGTTTGAACTACCCTATGTTACCTATGTGCCTGATGAAATGACCAAATTTTATGTAAAGTTGCTTTAAAGTACCTCAAGACCTGAATTAAAGCCTGGAGATGTGGTTTTTCTAGATCTTCTAAAAACTATCTTAGAAGATAAGCAGCAAGACCTGAATTAAAGTCTTAACAAAATTAATTCCTTACTTTGTTATTCATTTGATCAATATGTCGTAACACCACTTTGCTTTCTACCCATTCTCACATTTTATAAATGAACCCAAAGTTCCATCCTTTCTTTCTGGTATACAGGCTCCTTGATAATTAACTAGGAATATTTACATAGAATAATTGAAATCTTGATCATGTATTACCCAAGTCTGTTTGACGCCAACTTGATGTCCAGTTTTAGACTTTTTGTCTTCTCGAATAATCATGTCAAATTAGTCATTATGACAAGATCATAAGTTTAAATTTTGGGTACTCAATCTCAATATCTACGGCCTGTTGTGTAATCAGTCCCCATCCCCTAGCTTTCCTGTGGGGAAACTTATAAGTTCCTAATTATTAACATTTGTATCTCCTTCATACTTTACAAATTTTACCAAAACCAATCCCAAAGAAGATAAGAAAGATTTACACAATGCATCTTCCACGTTCTGTCAATTTTTGTTTTTATCAATACTACTTCCTTTTTCCAAGTTCTTCTTCCTTTAATAACATCAAACTCAGGAGCATTGAGCTCTTAATCTCTGCTTCTACCTTTAGTCATTGTGACAAGATCATAAGTTTATATTTGGGTACTCAATCTCAATATCTACGGCCTGTTGTGTAACTAGTCCTCATCCCCTAGCTTTCCTATGGGGAAACTTATATGTTCCTAATTATTAACATCTGTATCTCCTTCATACTTTACAGATTTTATCAAAAACCCATGCCGAAGAAGATGAGAAAGATTTACCCAATGCATCTTTCACGTACTATCAATTTTTTTATGAATACTACTTCCTTTTTCCAAGTTCTTCTTCATTTTGTAACATCAAACTCAGGAGTATTGAGCTATTAATCTCTGCTTCTACCTTTAGTTATTGTCACAAGATCATAAGTTTATATTTTGGGTACTCAATCTCAATATCTACAGCCTGTAGTGTAACCAGTCCCTATCCCCTAGCTTTCCTGTGGGGAAACTTATAAGTTCCTAATTATTAACATCTGCATCTCCTTCATACTTTACAGATTTTACCAAAAACCAATCCCGAAACAGTTAAAAGGGACAAATATTTTATTTGTACCTTCCCTTACTATTATAACTTAAGCAATTTTCTTTATGTTGCTTTGTCATCATCAAATAGTAAGAGATTGTTGATCCTCTCTCTCATGATTTGATAATGATCCATTTTATCTACCGAAGTATATCGTTTCT